TTGCACGTTATTCGTTTGTGAATTTACGAGAGCGAGAAATGAAATGTAATTGACATTTGGTAAAATTTAATTTTTCACTGAGAGAAGAAAATATAATTTATATCTTTGTGGCATTGTTTCGCAGACAATGTAATGTGTATTAGTCGATTTTTTTTTTGAAAAGAAAATATAACGAATGATAAGTAATAAATAATTAATTTATACCTAATGTTGAAATAAATAAAAAAAATTGTGTGTAATAAAAATTAAATAGTAAATAGAAAAAATAAAAATTAAGAAAAAAAAATAAATGGCAAAATAAAAATGTAATTAAATTGATAAAAATTAAAATTCAAGCCATTCGAAAGAAGTTTCCTAATTTCAACTAAAAATAATTTTGACCCACTTATTATTTTCACTTTTAAGGGAAATAATAATAAACTAAACAAATAAAAATAAAATTAAATATTGAAAAAAAATAAAATAAAAAATATTATTTCAGGGAAAAAAAATTCCAAAGAAAGGGAATAAATTTATAAACGAAAAAAATAGATTAGGAAACAATGCGGTTATTGAAAATAATACCGAAAGATGAAAAATTCAATTGACAAAAACGTCACCCAAGAAAACTAGAGGGAGAAAAAAGGAAAAAGAAAAAAAAATAGAAAAGGAAAAAAAATAGAAAAAGAGAAAAATAGAAAGAGAGAAAGAAAGAGAGCGAGAGAGAGAGAGCCTTAGAGAGGGTTCATTTAAGAACAAGAGTGTTGATCTTGTCCCTAGATATGTCCCCATGATACTTTAGTCGAATTGGAACATCGGCTTTTATCAGAGATCCGCTATTCCTGATGACGAGGTAGTTTTGTATGCCTCGAGCTTTCAAGAAAATTCCCATTCAAAATTACTACCTTTAACGTGATCTCAGGAAAATTTTCATACAAAAAAAGAAAAAAAAATTTGTTCTCTAAAAATTCAATGGCAAAAACTAAATCTTTACAAAATTAGTCCCCCTTTGTTTTTATAACTGTATATATTATGTAATTCTCGAAAAAAAAGAAGAAAAAGTAAAAAAAAAACTTTTTTTTCTTTTGTCCAACTTAAAAGTTGATTACGTTACAAATTAAAAACTGATTCCCTCCGAGTTTTCTCAAGCTGATATCTTGCATTCGTATCATTTTAAGTAACACAGAATTGCTTCCTTAATATTTTTTCTTAATTAAAATTCACTGTCTTCCTTTTACTACTTCATTATTCAATTAGTCCCCCTTTTGCTTTATTTTTCATCCCAGTGCGCCTCGAGGAATTCCGGAAGAAATATTTCCGAATTTTTCGAATTTAGTGAAAAAAAGAAATAATATACAATAAAGGAAACAAAATTTATTCCTAATTTTCCCAAATGGTAAAAACAAAATAATAGAATAAAAAAGATTTAGAATAAAATAATTTCCCGAATCAGTAGAAAAGTTAGAAAATATAAAACAAAATGAGTTTCCGATTCAGAAAAAGAAATTACAAAATAAAAGAAAATAGAGAGAAGAATTTAAAAATTCGCGAATCGGTAAAACGTGAAACTAGAAAAAAATTAGAAAAAAATAATTTCCCGAAAGAGTAAAAAAAATAATAAATTCAGAGAAAATTAAAAAAAAATTCCTGATTTCCCGATTCGGTAAAAAAAAATTAGAAGAAATTAAAAAATAATTTTCGAGAATCGAAAAAAAATAATAAAACAAAAAAAAAATCAGAAAAAAGTTTCTTATTTCTCGAATTGGTAACAAAATAACGAAAATAATTTCCTAATATCCTGGATCAGTAACAGAATAAAATATTAAAATTAGAAAAAATATTTTCTGAATTTGGAAAATAGATAAAATAAAAGAAAAATTCAGGAAAAGAAACCTAATTTCCCGAATTGGTAATAAAATAAAATAAAATTGAGAAAAAAACCTAATCAAATAAAATTCAGAATAAAAAATTCCGAATTTCTCAAATCAGTAAAAATATAAAATTAGAAAAAAAAATTAGAAGAAATTAAAAAATAATTTTCTGAATCGAGAAAAAATTAATAAAACAAAAGAAAAATAAAAAAAGGTCATATTTTCTCAAATTGGTAACAAAATAACGAAAAAAAATGAAAATTAAGAAAAAAAATTCCTAATTTCTTGGATCAGTGGTAGAATAAAATTAGAAAAAATATTTTCCGAATTTGGAAAATAGATAAAATAAAAGAAAATTCAGGAAAAGAAACCGAATTTCCCCAATTGGTAACAAAATAATAAAATAAATGAAAATTGAGGAAAAAACCTAATAAAAAAAAATCAGAATAAAAAATTCCTAATTTCCCGAATCAGTAAAAATATAATTAAAAGAAATTAGGAAAATATATGTAATAATTTTTTGAATTGGTGAAAATAATTAGAAAATCTCGCAAAAGAAAATTTCCCATTTTCCCAAAAAAGTAAAAAAAAAACAAAAAAAAACCAATAAAAATAATCTCTTCGCTTATTTTTATAAATAGAAAATATAAATTAACATTGAGAGAGCAAAGAAATAAAAAAATACATAAAATAAGGGTAAATACAATTTATTAATGATAAGAATAATAATTATGAACTGTTTTCTTTTTCTGTGCGTTTAGTTATACTTTTTCAGAGTTTGCGCTTCTCGAATCGCCGCTATTGCAAATATATCGAGAAATTTTTCATAAAAAATAATCGATTACATTGGTATTTTATTTTCTTTTTTTTTTGGTTTGTTTTTTTATAAAATCGTATATTAAGTTATATTATAATAGTTTTAAGAAATCGTCTCAAATATCCGACAATGAGACAATATTCCTTGGCCACTCTCAATCGAACGAATTAATATTTATAACACTTAGCGAAACTTTCATCGAGTCCTGGGAATTGTTTAAAAATTGTTCGATTGACGCCACACCCACGATTTGAAAAAGAAAACAAAAAAGGAAAAAAAAATATGTTGATACATGAGAAATCGACCATTTGCTTATGATTTATTTGTCGAAAAATTAATTGAAAATAATGAATCCAAAAATTATTTAATTATTATTGCTTGAATTAGTTAATAATTAGTTAATAATTATTAAACAAAAAATTAATTTTATCCTCGAAATTAATTGACAATTATTAATTGCAAAATCTATATTAATAATTAATTAATAATTATTCCTTGAAAAAGTATTTAATAATTATTTTTTAATGAAAAAAGGTTACAAAAGAACTTTTTATTTTAAATTGAACTTTTTTTCTGACTAACCTCGATCGATTTTTATTCATTAATGCAATAAATTATAAAATGAAAAAAAATTTTTGGAATTCATTTTTTGGTACTTTGAGTTTTAAAAATTATTTCTTAATTCAATTTAATTTTATTCACTTATTTTATTTATTTAGATAAATTTTTAATTAAAAATTAAAAATAATTAAGTTATTCTTAAAGAGTATTTAAAGAGTATCTAAAGAGTATTTTAAAAATATTTAAGGAATTTTTAAATAATATTTAAGGAATATTTAAAGAGTATTTAAAGAGTATTTGAGGAGTATTTGAGGAGTATTTAAGAAGTATTTAAGAAGTATTTAAAGAGTATTTAAAGAATATTTAAGAAGTATTTAAAAAGTATTGCTTTAATATAATTTTTTTAAAATACGAAATACACCCTTGATCTGCAGGATCCTATTTTTTAAGGTTGCAATATTTCTAAAATACTCTGCTAATAAAATTAAAAAAGTACAATTAAATACTCTTTAAATATGACAGATGAACTTTTTATACTTTAAACGCTTTAAATAAAAACTAATATTTTACAAAAAATGTTGGAAAAATTTTTTTAAATCCGGGTTGTTTTCATATCTTCCTGTGCAGATTTTACAAAAAAAGGAAATTAAAATTATGTCAATTTTTTATTTAATGAAATGAAATGAAATTACATTAATGGAAATGAAATTTAATTGACATAAAATCGAATGAAATAAGATGAAAACGAATATTAAATTATTAGGAGAAAACTAAATTTAAAGTGAATTAAAAATCAAATTAAATTAAAATTAAATTAAAACTTAAAATTGAATTGAATTAAAAATTTAATTGTATTAAAAATTAATTTGAATTAATAATTAAAATTGAAATAAAAATTAAATTGAATTAATAATTAAATTGAATTAATATTTAAAATAGAATTAAAAATTAAATTGAATTAAAATTAAATTTATATCATTATTAAATTGAATTAACTATTAATTACAATTCAAGATTGAAATTAAATTAAAATAATATATTAGAATTTTCATAACTTCCTCCATGACATTTAAAAAAAAGAATTTCCTCAATTTTCCTCCAATTAATCATAAGCCTTCTTTTTCTCAAATGACATCCCCAAGACGTCAATATTTTATACTTGTGAGAAATATACCGGTAATACATACATAAAAAAATAACTGACGTATATTGATGACAATTTTTTGTCTACATATATAAATACACATTCTTCAATAAAAATGTATAAATATATGTATACATACTATAATTTTATATAGTCAAAAAATCACCTAAAAATTGATTTTCTTTTTTTTTAACGACCTTTAGGCGGTTGTGTGGTTTTTAGTCACGTGAAATATATTTTTATTTGTATATATATATTTAAATGAGAAATTTGTCAAAGAAAAAAAAATGGGTATCCAAAAAAATTATTTTTGACAAATTTCTGAATTCATTTTTCGTCGCCACCTTGTGTACTCCATTTTCTCGATGGAACGTGGCTCAAGTATTGGAAAAGTCTGTCCTCGTTTGGAACAAAACTGGGTGATTTTTCGTGAAATCAATGTTCCTATAAGCTCGTTCTTTTTCTTCATTCTCGGTTGATTTCTTTGAAAAATTTTCATTTTATAAAATGATTTTTTCATATTACTCCGCGTTATATAATATATATATATATATTTTTTTTTTATTTTGAATGTGAAATTATTTACATGTATTTTGTTTTTGCAAATATTCAAATGAATTTTATTTTTTCAAATGGATATTCTTTTTTTTCACTTTTCCTTTTTTTTCGATTTAAAGGATCAAGTTCTTTTTTTGTTAATTAACGACCTTAATAAAATTTTTTCTAACAAATATTACCCACGGATTATAATGCCGCGTTATCGTAACCGTCGATCAGTGTCTGTATGATGAATTTGATGGTTAACTTGTATATGTTCTCGACATTCTCCGTGTATCGATCGTCTAAGGTCCTTTTTACTGCCTCCAGAAACGGCGATTCGATATTCTGTAATAAAAAAAGGGGGAAAAAAATTATCTATCATATTTCTGTCGGGAAAAAAATTTTTTTTTTTACTTTTTTTTAAAAATATTTTTAAAATAGATAATTAATTAAGATTTTTTTGTCTATATAAAGTATATTCTACGTTTTTGAGGGGTTTTCTGGGAATATATAATTAATTAATTAAAAATTCACTTATTAAACGTACAAAATTAATTATTACTGTTCAAATTTTCAAAAATTTTAATAAAATCTCACGAAAGAATTCCATTATTTTCTAAAATTTTAATAAATCCTTCTAAACAATTCAATTATTTTTTTGAATCGTAAAATATTTACAAAAATTTAATTATTTTCAAAATAATTTTAATTGAATTCCTCGGAAGAATTCAATTTTTTAAAAAATTTTTAACACATATTTAAAAAGAAAATTCAATTTTTTTCAAAAATTTTAATAAATCCTTCGCAAAAATTCAAATATTTTTATAAATAGTAAAATTCTTCACAAGAATTCAATTAATTTTATAAATAGTAAAATTCTTTGCAGGAAATGAATTCAATTATTTTCAAAACAATTTTAATTGAATTCCTCGGATGAATTCAACACTAGAAAAACAAATAAGTTTTAATTTTAACCTGATTTTAGGGTAAATATTCGCTGCAACAAATTTTCACCTAAGTGAGGGTGCCACTTTCTATGTGAATTAGCATTGGTTAAAATTCCCCGCAACAAAATTTATACTATCTTTTTTTCTGTGAAATATTTAAAAATATTTCCATAAATTTCAATTATTTCCTAAACTTTTTAAAAAATTTTCGAAACAATTCAAATATTTTTATAAATACTAAAATTCTTTGCAGGAATTAAATAATTTTTAATCAAATTTAAATAAAATTACACGAAAGAATTTAATTATTATCAAAAATTTACATAAAATTCAATTTCAACAAGAATTTAAAATTCTTTAAAAATAATTCAATTATTCTTAAAATATTTAAATTCTATATAAAAATTAAATTACTTTTAATGCAATTTTCAAATATATTCGTCAAAAAAATTGAAAGAATTCAATTATTTTCAAAAAATAATAAAATTCTTTAAAGAAATTCAATTATTCTCGAAACAACTTTAATTGAATTTTTCGAAAAAATTTCATTATTTTCAAATATTTCTATAAAATTTTTCATAACAATTTAATTATTTCTTAAAATTTTAATAAATTCTTCGAAACATTTCAATTATTTTTATAAATAGTAAAATTTTCCTCAAGAATTCAGTTACTTTTATAAATAGTAAAATCCTTTGCAGAAATTCAATTCTTTTCAAAACAATTTTAATTGGATTCCTCGAAAAAATTTAAATTTTTAAATATTAACATAAAATTCATTTATTTTCTAAAATTTTAATAAATTCTTCGGAACAATTCAATTATTTTTATAAATAGTAAAATTCTTCGCAAGAATTCAATTATTTTCAATACAATTTTAATAAAATTCTTCTTCATAAAATTCAATTGCTTTTAAAATTTTCAATTAAAATTATTAAAAAAACGTCATTAGTTTAAAAAAAATTCAAAGTAATTCTTCAAAAGAATTTAATTTGGATTTTTAAAAATTTTAATAAATTTCTTCGCAAAAATTTAGTTATTTTCCTTAATAATAAAATTCTTTGAAGGAATTCTATTATTATCAAATTTTTTGATATAAAATTCTTTGCAACTGTTCCATGATTTTTAGTACATTAATTTTAAAATTGAAAATATTTGCAAAGAAAAATTATAAAAAAGTTAAGTTCCTGCGAAAGATATTGTTATTGTTGGAAATAATTTAATTCCTGCTAAAAATTTAATTATTTATGGAAATAATTGAATTCCAGCGAAAGATTTTTTAAAAACTTTAGAAAATAACTGAATTGTTTCCGAGAATATTTATTAAATTTTTTGAAAGTAATTGAATACTTTCAAGATATTTTATTTAAATTGTTTTGAAAATAATTGAAATCCTGAAAAGAATTTTATTATTTATGAAAATAATTGAATTCTTGCCAGAATTGTATTTAGATTTTTGAAAATAATTGAATTTTTGAGAAAAATTTTAATCTTGACGGAAATAATTGAATTCTTTCAAGTAATTTTATTACATTTTTTGAAAATAATTGAATTTTTTTAATAATTCATTTTATTAAAAATATAGAAAATTGAATTTTTTTGTAGAAAATTAATTCAAATTGTATCGAAAATAATTGAATTCCCTCGAACAATTTTTTTACTGACGGAAATAATTGAATTCTTTCGAAAAATTTTATTAAAAATTATATCTGTCAATAATAATTCAATTTCTGCTAAAAATTTAATTATTTATGGAAACAATTGAATTTCAGCAAAAAATTTTATCAAAACTTTTGAAAATGACTGAATTGTTTCTGACAATTTTATTAAATTGTTGAAACTAATTGAAGTCTTTCAAAATTTTCATATCCAATTGTACCTATAAAAAAATAAATGAATTCTTGCGAAAAATTTTATTATTTCAAACATAATTGAATTCTTTCAAAGAATAATTGTATTAAAAGTTTTGAAAATAATTGAATTGTTTCGTAAAATTATATTTAATTTTTAGAAAAGAATTAAATTCCTCAATAAACTTCATTTAAAGAGTATAAAAAATAATATTATAGGAAGGCAAAAAATTAATTGAATTCCCTCAAAAAATTATATTATTAACGAAAATAATTGAATTTTTTTGGAGAATTTCATTAAAATTATTGCAAATAATAAATAATAATAATTAGTTGGTTGGTTAAAAAGTGAATTTAAAAAAAATTTTAAAGTGAAATTTTATATTTTAATAATAAATAATAAATTATAAAAATATCGTTGAAAAATTGGTAATTAGTTTTCTTGTTCATCATTCGTGACAATAAAAAATAAATTTTTTAAATGAAAATTTTCTTGAAAAAAACTTCATTTCCTATTATTAGACGGTTTTTTATTTTCATAAATAACAAAATTGACGTTAATTTAGGGGAAAAAATTGCACCATCTCATTTCCTGGATGGTTAACTCTAATTTATTTTTCTGCTCTAATTTTTAGTCCTCTTTTACCTCTACACGTTGTTAAATTGTAAAGCAGAAATGGAAATTTTTTGCTATTTTCATCGCAACGTCAAAAAAATGTAGTTGAATACTTAATTTAAATCAAAATTAAATTTACTTCAAGAATGTAATTTTTTTATTATTTTTTTAAAGTAAAAATATATTTGTAACAATTTCTTTCTTCTATTACATTTTTTTTATCTATTCTCTAATACATAAAATAAACTAAATGAAACAGAAAAATAAGAATAAATAAACTAAATTTAAATTAAATAAAAATAAATGAAAATGAAGAGAAGAAGATACAAAAAAAAAAAAAATAATTAAAAGAGATAAAATAATTTTAGACTCAAATTTCAATTCTTTTTCTAAATTAAATATTTTTGGAAAATTTTCCATTGCAGGAGGAAATACTATAAAAAGAAAAATAAAAAGATCTTTTTAGAAAAGCGACGACAAGTTTTATTAAACTATTTACGAGCATGAATTTGGAATTAAAAAAGTGGTGATAAAAAAATGTCGGGAAAAAAACTTAACTCGAAATGACAAAAGGAAAACAATGGCAAAATGGACGAATGGAATATTGGTCAAACGGGGAATTTCGGAAGGAAACCGCAATGCAATTTACCGTAGTTAAATGTAAGCCACAGAATGCTCGTAAAACTATAATGAAAGGGCGGTAGCACAATTAAAATCAGTGTTCCCTCCTCAACAATTATTTTTGGTTTATGTGCCAGCAAATGTCTACATTTTCACCAAGGTTTTTAATTTTCATTTATTAGATTGTTCCCTTTCCTGTTGAAACCGCCTCGAAACATTTTGTTATTCATTTTTTTTCCGTTTTTTTGGAAAATAGAATTTTATTTCCAAATAAAACGACAGTAAAAAAAACTAAATTGGATAATTTATTTAAAAACATGTATTATTCAAGAGTTTGAATGTTTTTTATAGGGTTGAATTTTATTTCCTGATTCTGCAATTTTTTTCACATCTCTTTTAATTTTAAATGTCTAAATAAATTTTTTTTAATCATTATTAATTAATTATTTTATTGAATTACTAAATTAATTAACAATTATTCAAATATATACGAATTTTGTTAATTTAATTTTTAAAATTGTAAATTTCACGGAGTGTAAATCTATTTCTTTATAAATTTAATAATAAAGTAATTAATATTCAATAAGATTAATATTAAGAATATTTCATATTAATTTAATTTTAACATTTAAAATCAATACTGAAATTATTAAAAAAATATTTTAAATATTTAACAAATTTAAATTTAAACATTAAAATTTTAATTTAGAAAACAAATATTCTTATATAATCAATTTAAATTTTAAATTCTTTTCTAATCAAGTTAAATTTGTAGCCAAAAAAACTGAATAAAATTAAATACAAAATTTGTAATAATTATTATTTCTATAGTAATTATTAAAAAAATGTAAAAAGAAAAAAAAGTAAAAGAGTGCTTTTTTCACGCAAAATAAAATTAAAAAAAAAATTAAATAAATTAATGGAAGAACTTACCCAAAAATATTGACGTTTAAATTCTGGAATTCTTCTGTGTGACGCGCCCACTTGATGTAGATAGGAAAGAAAAACATCCATATCGTCCAAACCCTTAATACCTTCGTCTAATGTCGTCATTACTTTCACCGCATGATCCGCAAGCTCAGTACTCGTTGCTTGTTCGTCTTTTGTTTTTAGATGTTTAAAATTTTTAAACATTTCTAGTAATTCCGCATTATTCTCGAATAATCTGAAACAAGTGAAAAAATCCATATTTGGTCAGACGTATATTGCAAAAAAGAACATAAAAAAACATGTGAAACCAAATACCTTTATAGAAGTCAAAAAAAAAAAAAAAAAAAAAATGGAGGAAAAAAAATCTGAAAACAGAAATAAAAATATATTGAAAAACAATACTCTTGAAAAAAATACTTTTTGATAAATATAATGGAAAATGATAGTAATGAAAATAATGAAATAAGATTTTATTTTCTCTATTTTTTTCTGTTAATAACAAAATAAATAACATATTTGACAATTTGTGTTTAGTATAAATGATCTTGGGAAGGTAAATTATTAATTTACAATTTAACAATTGTTTATTTAAATAGTAAGGTAAAAATGCAAAGAAAAATAAAATTAAAAATCAATAAACCATGTCACTATAATGTTATTCTATTTATAAATTTAATAAATAATAAGAAAAAAATAATTAAAAAAATTATAATAATAAGTAATAGAATAAAAAATCTATTGTAAAATAAAAAATACTATATTAATATTAATATAGAACAAAAAATTATAAAAAATTTTATTATAATTAGAATCTTTTTAACTTAAAAAACTACTTACTTAAGGGCATTTGAACCTTGATGACGTCACACATGCTTTGCACAAACTGAAACGTCATCAAGGTTCAAATGCCCTTAATAAACAATAAAAGAAGGAAAAATAATAAAATAATAAAAAACGAAGAAAATAAGAAAAAAATACCAAAGGACTTTTTGTTTTTCTTTTGCTTAAGTAAATAAGTAAATAAATAAATGAATAAAGAGAAAATAAACTTTACAAAATGAAAAAAATTTATAATAATATTAATAATTATTAATCGAATAAAAATTATAAATAATAAAAAACCAACAAATCCCATCATTATGAAATCAAAAACTTGTTAGAAATTGAATAGCATTATTATCAGTTTATGTTAAAAGAAATATTTAACGAATAATAAATAATAAACAACTTTAAAAATATTGTTATAAAACATAAAGAGGATCGAGTGTTAAAATTATTTTTCTATATTATAAGAATATTGTTAATGTAACTTATTAAAAATTATTTTCATATTCTATTATTAACTATAATTTAAACTAAAATTCATTTTCAAATCAATTTTTATTCGAACATTCTACAAGAATTCAATTATTTAAATACAAAAGTAAATTATTTATTGAATAATTGAATGTTTCTTAGAATTTAATTCTTATAAAGAATTTTGTTAACAAATTTTTAAATAATTGAATTCTTTGGACGAATTTTAATAAAAATTTTTAGAATAGTTACATTTTTCAAAGAATTCGATTAAAATTTGTATTAAAAATAATTGAAATTCTGCGATGAGTTTTATTATTTCTGATAATAATTGAATTATTGAAAAGAAACTTACAAAAAATTTGTGAATATTTGAATTCCTGGAAAATTTTTATTATTTATGAAAATAATTAAATGTTTGCGTACAAATTTATTAACATTGGTTTTAAATAATTGAATTCTTTTGGGTAATTTTATGAAAATAGAAGATAATGGAAATCATAGAAATAAGGACATTTTTTGAAAATAATTGGAATTTTGACAAGAAATTTATTAAAATTTTTGAAATTAATTGAATTTTGAAGTATTTTTTTATTTAAAAAGATAATAATTGGGATTATGTTAAGATTTTTTTTTTTTGCAAATTTTGAACATAATTGAATTTTGTGATAAGAATTTTTATTACTTTTGAAAATAATTGAATTTCTGCAATCATTTGTAACTTCTTCAAAATTCAATTTTTTTTAGTGTTTTTAACTAAAATTCTTATATAAATCCGTTATTGTCAATAATTAATTAAATATACATTGACAAATTTAACTAATTTTAGAAGATTTTGAATTATTAAAATTTTTCAAAAATCTATAAGTTCATTAAAATTTCTAATTAAATTCATTCAACATAGAAATTTTATAAAATTTTAGATTGAAAGCGTTTGATGTTCATTTACTTATGAAAATTGTAAACGCAATTTTTTTGAAATTGAATTATTTTTGAAATGTTTAAGTAAAATTATTCATTAAATAATTTATTTATTTTTATAATAGTTTTCAAGATTTGAGTTATTTATAAAAAGAAATTTTTGTCAGAAATTGAAAAAATTGAAGGCTTTTTATTAGAATTCGTGGTAATTTTATAGTTTATGAGTCAAACAAAAAAAAACAAAAAAATTCGAAGAATTTATTTAAAATTATATTAAAAATATTTGAAATTCTGCTATAGGAAAATAATTAAATTCCTAAAAGAAATTTTATTCTTTATGAAAATAATTTAATGTTTTCCTAGAATTGTATCAAAAAATTTTTTTCAATAATTAAATTTTATGATAAATTTTATAAAAATACTAAATATTTAAATTCATTGAATTGAGAAAAAGTTTTGAAAATAATTGAATTCTTGTGATGAATATTGTTATATTTATAAAAATAATTGAATTTTGCAAAGAATTTTATTAAAATCCCTAAAAATAATTGAGATTCAGTGAAGAATTTTGTTATTTATCAAGATAATTGCGTTCTCTGAATTGTCTGCGTCAGAATATATGATTATTATAAATTATAATAATATTAATACTATATATTCCAATTCATATTTTGTTTTTATAAAAAAAAATTTGAATTAAAAATTTTTATGTTCTATTAATTTTTAAAATTGCTAAATTTATTTAAAATAGTGAGTGAGAAGTCAGCTGCGCGCGAATTGTTGCTAATAATAATAATTTAATAATAAATAATAACGATAATAATAATAAACAGTCGAATAAAAATAATAATTATAGAATGAAAAATATTCTACTATCAGAGAAGCAAAAAATTGTCAAGAATTTAATATTGTTGATATTATCATTTATTTTTTGTTTGTTTTTTATAAATCAAAGTTGAATAAACCCGCTTTTTTTAAAAAAAAAGAATGCATCTATATTTGCATTTCATCAATAATATATTTCGAAAGACAAAATAAATCACGCAACTTGTTGAAACAAAAATCGTATTTGGCATCGTGTAGAGCAATAGACATACAGTGAGAGAGGACAAGAGAGAGTGAGTGAGTGAGAGAGAGAGAGTGAGAGAGAGAGAAGGAAAAATAGCCCCAGTTGAAATATATTATTAGACTTTTTTCTGTGAAAAGTTGAAAAAAGGTGATGTTTTATTTAGAACAAAGCACCGACATTGTCGACTGCACGTGAAGTGTAAAAAAAGCAATTCACGGACTAGGAGTTCATTGAAGCGTTGTGTTGTCGAGCGTGCATTGGAAAGAGGGGGGAGGAGGAGGGAAGGGGTGGGGGAAAAATCAGAGCGCGAAATATGTTGTGCACGAGAATGACCCGGAGACTCTAGTTTGTGAGAATGCAAAAATTTTCATAAAGAAAACAAAACAAAATAAAAAAAAATATGAAAAAATAAAATCCACTACACATAGTTTACATATTTATGTGTTTTTATTCTGTAGAGAAGAGGAGAAAAAAAATGAAATGATTTTTAATTACAGAAAGAAGCAATATAGTCGAAAGTGTAAAAGTGAGACAGCAGAAAACGATTCCCTGGAAGAAATAAATATATATTTCATTACAGAACTCGTGTTTTATAATTATAAACTTCTTTATTTATTTTTGTAAATTGTAGTTTTTAAGTGTAGAGAAAACAATACAGTCAAAACTGTAAAAGTGATTTTATTTATGCGCAGAATAGGCTGTCTTACTTAGACAGGTTTGATTGTACTGTTATTTTTTCTATAATTAAAATAAAAAAAAACATAATAATAAGACGAGGAGTAGTGTAATAATTTATTCACAGTAAATCACGAGGTATTAAAAAGTTTAGCAGATTAAATTGACACAAAAAAAGATTAAAATAATCAATTTTGATGTTATTTTTTACAATGAATAAAATTTTAGTTCATTCAATTTTTTTATAACTATAAAACATGAAGATATCGATAACTCCGAGTCTTCGACTCGGAGTCATCGATTTCTTCATGTTTTCTAATAATTAAAGATGACCAAGAGATAAAATCATTATTTTATATTATAAAAATATTGTACTTGTTCCAAATTATTTTCATCATCTCAATTTAATTATTATTTTCAAAAATTTTTAACTACAATTTTACTTTATATCAATTATTTTTAATAATTTTCGAAAAAGTTCTTTAGCAATTTTCAAATCCATTTGTTTACAATATTCAATTTCACGAAATTTCAATTATTCCTAAATTCTTTAATTAAATGCATATTAGAAAATAAAAACTTTAAATAATATAAAAGAAAATTCAATTAAACTTTTTCAAAAAAATTAATTTCAAAATTCAATTATTTCTAAAAATTCACGCTATATTACTTTTAATATTCAATTATAATCTAAAATTTTAACTAAAATTCATTTTCATGTAATGAAAATCAATTTTTATTAGAAAACTCTACAAGAATTTAATTAATTAAATGCAAAAGTAAATAATTTATAGAATAATTGAATGTTTCTCAAAATTCAATTCTCATAAAGAATTTTATTAACAAATTTTTAAATAATTAAATTCTTTTGTTGAATTTTATTAAAAGTTGCATGAACATAATTACTTTTTTCAAGAAATTCAATTATAATTGTATGAAAAATAATTGAAACGCTGCGATGAGTTTTATTATTAGTAAAAATAACTAAATCCTTAAGAAGAATTTTATTACTCTTGAAAATAATTGAATTTCTGCAATAATTTGTAACTTCTCTAAAATTAAATTTTTTTCTAGTGTTTTTAACTAAAATCCTTTAATAAATTCATTATTTTTAATAATTTTTGAAAAAGTTCTTTGAGAATTTTCAAATTCATTCTCATTCGTTTACAATTCAATTTTACAAAATTTCAATTATTCTGAATTTCTGCAATTAAATATATATTGAAAAATAAAAACTTGAAATAAATTCAATGAAAATCCTATTAAACTTTTAA